AACTAGAAATATTTTCTAGCCCTTTCCCAACTCTCTCTCCTTAGGTAAAATTTTACAAGGCAGGCTTATCTCCCAATTGAACTAGTTGTTGCCTAGTTCTAATAGCTTTGGGAGAGGTGGGGAGAGGGAGGGAGGGAAGGAAGGGGGGGGAGAGAGAGAGAGAGTTGGTAGTAGTATTCCACTCTTCAACTACCCAGCTGACTTTCTTTCCCATTCTACTTCATAACTGGAAGACCCCAAATAAACTAGAACAAGGATGAGGACAGAATTTAATGGACTTTAATCATCACTGGACCTTAAATAAAAAATTACACTTAAGTTCTAGAGCTAGTTTGGTATCTGAAAATATGACCTGATTTGAAGGGTGATCACAATTTGACAGTACACTCTAAGGGAGGTTCTGAGCAAACTTTTGCTGACAGCACTAAGTAGAGAAGAGGTCTTCTTTCTCTTGGTCCTTTGACACCGATTGGGGGAGGAGACAGTAGTGATTAAGGATGGGGGAGGCAATGGAAAACCTTTTAGATTTCAAAAAGGTGGTACTTTTTCTTCCTTTCTCCATGTCCTTTCAGTACACCATATATGATACTTTTACAGGCAAACCAACTTGGATACAACAGTCACTGAACTCTGCTTTTTGTCTAACAGTGATTTTAGATTTGAAATGAAAAATTACTTACAATATTTTTTTTATTTGTTACTTTAAAACTCCCTTTCCCCCAAGTTCAGAAAAATTCATTGTCTATATCAGTGATGGCGAACCTTTTGAGCTCGGCGTGTCAGCATTTTGAAAAACCCTAACTTAATTCTGGTGCCGTGTCACATATAGAAATTTTTTGATATTTGCAACCATAGTAAAACAAAGACTTATATTTTTGATATTTATTTTATATATTTAAATGCCATAACAAAGAAAAATCAACCAAAAAAATGAGTTCGTGTGTCACCTCTGACACGCGTGTCATAGGTTTGCCATCACTGGTCTATATTCTTATTGGAAACTTACAAAGTTTTCTGGCTTGTTTTAAATTATACTTAACTGTCACATTTTTTGCAAAACTCCCACAAAGTGAGATGCCAACGACATTATTACCAATTTAGGTCAGTATATTTTTGCATATGCAAGATACTGGATTGGGAGCTAGATCAGGAGACCCACTGATTATAGTAGAACTACACAAGTTTTGAAGTGAAAATTTAAGTCCATAAAGGTTTTAAGCTAAATTAAGTTATTCTGGTTGATTATTTTCAAGTTGTATCAATTACTTCATTTCTGCATTCCTTACATCATCTAATTGCCAGAAGTTGAGGGGCGGGGAGGGAGATAAACAGTCCACTTAACTGTCTGAGGTTATGACTTCCCTAGATTTTTATACTTTTCCATATACATACACTGATGGTGATTTAAAAAAATTTTTTTTTATTGATTTCAGAGAGGAAGGGAGAGGGAGAGAGAGCTAGAAACATCAATGGTAAGAGAGAATCATTGATCGGCCGCCTCCTGCACACCCCACACCGGGGATGGAGCCCGCAACCCAGGTGTGTGCCCCAAACGGGAATCGAACTGTGACCTCCTGGTTCATAGGTCCACGCTCAACCACTGAGCCATGCCGACTGGGCCTGATGGCGATTTTTAATGACATAGATTCTCTTTTATAATTTAGCAGTAGGCTCTAATTTTCTGTAAGCTCATCTAACTAGACTTCACATTTTGCCCTTTAAACACATTTAGATTATCAGGGTGGAAGCATAAAATCCCTTCACCTGCTATTGAACTCCCTGGTTACAACACTATAGCCTGACATTTGCTTGTACCACCTGGGTTGGGTTTTTTTTTTCTCTCGCCTATGCTTTGTTCTTTCACTCTTGACAAAAAGGCTGTGATTTCTAGCATTTCTTCTAATTCAGTTTTTAAACTGCTTATTCCACTTGGATATTTTAAATGCAGGTTGTGCTATTCTTTTGAGGATTCCCTTATCTACCCATCATTTTAGTTTTAAAAAAATATGTTTTTATTGATTTTTTTTTTTTTTTTTTTTTTAAAGAGAGGAACGTCAGTCAGCTGCCTCCTGCACACAGACTACTGGGGATCGAGCTCTGGGTGCATGGGACAACACTCAACCAACAGAGCCACACCGGCCAGGGCTCTACCCATCATTTTTAATGATTTGGAAACTTAATGTTATAGCAGACCAATTGCCCCTACCTTCACACATAATAAGGCTTTGAATTGTTGCCCTTAGAAAATAGAGAATATTCAAAGCAAAGAAAACTGAGACAAACAACCAAAGAAAGAAAAGGAACTCATGAATATAAATTCAAAATATATTAGAATTAGAGAGCACAGGTGGTAAAAAGGGACCGAGGGAAAGTTAAGTCCTTTTTCAGGGACCCTTGGTTATCATTCTTCCTGCCAACTCTTTTTTTTTTTTTTTAAATTAATTTCAGAGAGGAAGGGAGAGGGAGAGAGAGATAGAAACATCAATGATGAGAGAGAATCACTGATTGGCTGCCTCCTGCATGTCCCCCAGTGGGGATTGAGCCTGCAACCTGGACATGTGTCCTTGACCAGAATTGAACCTGGGGCCCTTCAGTCCACAGGCTGACACTCTATCCACTGAGCCAAACTGGCTAGGGCTTCCTGCCAACTCTTTATTTCTAATACATTCTTTGTGGGAAAAGTTTGGAATGTGTTTCTGATTTAGAAATTAAAAACAACCTGGGCATATTTTTTTTGGAATAACTCTTAATTCTGCTTTTTAATTTTAACACTTGCATTTTATATTCCCATAATTGTTTTTATCATCAATTAACTTTGTAACCCTTTTCTAAAATTGAGTGATTTGTGATTAGTTTCTGTGATTCCCCAACCCAAGCATGTTGAATTTAATTATACTGAGCTAACTCTTGTGACCTGCCTAAAAAGAAGCATTCTCCTTCATGTAATAACATTTCCATCTTGTATGATTTTAAAAGTGTTGCTTTATATATCGTAAAGTGGATTTTAAAACATCAAGTCAATGCTTCTCAACATTTGGCTTGGTGAAAATTACTGTAAGGAGTGCACATCCTTTCATGCACTGAGCAGTGCCAGGCTACTCAGTGAAGTCTCCCACAGTTAAGTACTCTGTTTTTCTAGATGTGATTCTGATTGAAACAGATATAATTACAAGCCATGTATTTTTACTGAATAATAAAAGCATAACAATAACCAGTGGGAGTCTTTAAAATTCGTTGATTCATTTTTAAAGGATCCTTGAACTAAAAAATCTGATTTGGTTAACTGATCTTACAAATTTACTCATTGGTCCAGATAGCTTTCTATAGGAGGAGGCATGGGATCAGCACCAGTGACACAGGAGAAACTAGGACATACCTACCGAGTAACTTAACCAGTCCCAGCTTGGGTTCCCATCCTGTGCCTGGAAGCAGGGCCTGGTGAACTGTGAATTGTGTGCCAGTCTCCTCTCACTTGTAGCTTGTTTTTGCTTCCTCCTTCAATGGAATGGAAGAGAGCTCCTGCTACTTCTGCCTCTAAATCAGTAGATCAAATGAGCCAGTGTCTCTGACAAAATAGAAAAGTAGTTAACTGCTATTATACTTGTAAGTTTTAGATGGTTATAAATGGATATTGGACAGAAGACAGTTTCTACGTTCCTCAGTCACATGCAGGATAGGTGTCAGCCATTTCTATGCAGATGAGAACAGTTAGGCCTATACTAACTTGTTTTTTGTTTTTTAAGTAACTATACACATTTAGGAGTGCATTCGTTTACCTCTTTACAGGCTTTTTTCAAAGTTCCCTGTGTTGTTAACTGAGCTTGAGTGAAGTGAAATCTTTGAGGTAAGGCAACCCTAATGATAAAAATGGAAAGAAGGCCTGTGAAATTTGGGAACCTTCAGAGATACAGTTTTAGAGTCATCGCCTAAATATTGAAATGCCACCATTTGTTGTTTGGAGGGATGTGGAGCTAAATTGAGAATGGGAGCACCACATCTGCCTTATTGCTAAGTATATCCATCTCTACTGCTCCCCACAATAGAATTTTTATGTTGCATTCATTAATCCTGATTTAGCAGGTTTAAAGGAGGACAGAACGAAGAGGCTTAGCCGGCATTTCTCTGCCCTTCCTTACATGTTTGAGTGCTTGTCCCTAGCAGGCCCCATTTCTTTTTCATTATTAGGAAAGTCAAACAACTAAAAAGACATTATTTTCTAGTACTCTGTCAAGAGGCAGAATATTACAATTCCATTTTCATTTTTGCCTTTTAAATTTTCTGGCAAATTAAGATTCAGAGTTAGGGAAGAAGTTCTGCCTTGTGCCACCTAATGAATGTCACTGAAACAGCAATTTTTAAAGTCCCTCACTCTGATGAGGAAGCACACTTTGCTGTCAACACCATCAAGAAAGCAAGGTCCAGTGCGGGTAGTAGTATGTGAGCAGTAAGTTCCTGGTGTCCAGTTCTTCAGCCAGCTTGCTCCTGGATGCTTTTGATAGTCTGAACCAGTGGTCCTCTCTATGTGACTATTCTGAGGTTAATTTGGACCCAAGCACTTGTGCTCATTGCTGTCTTTGGCACGTGGAAACTAAGTTTTGACCAACGCTAACAACCCAGTTTCCAAAAACATTTTCAGACCATGTAAGGTGAGGTGTTTTTTTCTTCCAGGTAGTTTCAGGTTTTGGGGGTCCTCAGAAACTAATTTGCAGGGAGAGGAGTTTGGAAGATGTGAAACAAGTTTGTGTTTCTTCTGCTCTGTTAGCCACTGCTATCTTCATGGATCTGACACTCTATTTATCTGACAGTGCACTTAGTACTGCTTTGCCAGGGAAAATCACACAAAACAAGCCTGGTGCATCAGCACTTTCATTGTGTGCAGGGCTGAGCCTCCCTTCACATGGTCACATCCCCCTTTTAATCCAATGCTCCCTTTCCCTTCCCCAGTCCTGCCTGTTTCTGTGGCACTTATTGCTGGTTTCCCTGAGCTCCTGTTTCCACTTTGTGTTTTTTGTGGGGCCCAGGAAGCTAAAGCTGTGTGTATTTGTGGATCAGACAAGTGCAGCAAGTTATTATCATTGGCTTCTGAAGGGGAGAGTGAGGTGATGGCTGCGTTTAAGTTGGATTTCCTTCCAGAAATGATGGTGGATCATTGCTCTTTGAATTCCAGTCCCGTGTAAGTATTTTTGTTGTCTAATTTTTTATAAGCAGAGGAACTGGGTTGTTTGTTATTTAATGTAACTGGTTCTTTTCCTTAAGAAGAAACATTTGGGTGAGGAAGCCAAAGTCCACGCTATTGTTATTTTCTTTTTTAATATATATTTTTATTGATTTCAGAGAGGAAGGGAGAGGGAGAGACAGATAGAAACATCAATAAGAGAGAATCATTGATCGGCTGCCTTCTGCACACCCCCTACTGGGGACTGAGCCCACAACCTGGATATGTGCCTGAATTGAACCAGGGACCCTTTCGTCCGAAGGCTGATACTCTATCCACTGAGCCAAACCGGCTAGGGCTATTGTTTTTATCTATTAGAGTCTGATTCTGTCTCATTACTGCTGATTTCCTCAAAGCTATAATGAAGTTCTCTACAGAAGAGGGTACATTTGGTATATGACCAGCAAGTGTGTTGGCTCCTGTCCCTCCAAGCTATAATATTTTCCCATATGATAGGTTCTGAGGTTTGTTTGTTTTTAACTGTAGTTTTATTGCTTTAGGTTGGGTATGTAATTTCAAAGAATCTTTTGGGAAGGTATTTTTAATGATGAAATTCTTAGACTCATTACAGAGGATGTTTTTAGTAGTGTATGCAGGATGCTATATTGCCATGTAAACTGTAATTCTGGATTTTTACCCCCCCTCCCCCAACCAATTGAAAATGCAACACAATGCATGATTTGAGAGCTATCAGATGCCCCCACCCTCCCAATTAGGTAAATTTTGATTGGCAATTTGCCCAAATAAATTTTGAACATGGGAATGAGAAGCTCATTAGTTTGCAGTACTTGTTTAAGTGACACTGCCATTGTACACGCTAACCTGGCCCTGAGTTGTAGCTACAGGGGATCTGAATTCTGGGCTTTGTAGGGGACACATTTATAACTCCTGATTTCAGCTACTTTAACCAGGCTTCAGAGTATTTGGGACCTCAAGTAAATGAGTCTTAAGTTATTCAAAGCCAAGAATATTAAATGGTAGGATATTTTCTAGATAATGGGATAGTTGCAAGTCTTGAGTTTAGGCCTCCACATGCAAATCAGGCTACCCTGGGATTGGGTGTAACTGATGTGGATAATAGATTCAGAATAGCTCTTCATGGAATAGTTTAGTGGTCCTCAAAGTTAGTTGACTTGCTTGTTTGAAATAGATCCTGTGCCTTCCCTGTAGTCTCCAAAAATAATAGTTATTTAGGTCTTTTTATGAGAGTAGATAACAGGTGCAATCAGTGAATGGCATCATAATAAAGATTAACTATATAATAAAAATATTCCTATGTACCAGATATATGATCCCTAGAAATAGGACTCTGTGACTCAAATTATCTTTCATTGTAATACTTTCTCGCTCTGCTTTGTTGCTACCTACTATTTAACCCTTAGATACAGCATTTTTCCTCAGTCTGTTTTCTCATCTTTTAAAAGGTTGGACTGATTCAGCATCCCATGAAGGCTGGCCATGGAACATTGCATGAAAATTACCTGGAATATAAAATTGCAGATTCTTGAGCCCATGCCCAGATATTCTTATGCTGGAGTAGGGTCTAAGAATCTGTATTTTAACGATGTCCCGTGTAGTTTTCATGTACACGAGAGTTTGAGAACTAATGGACTGAATGTAGGCCATTCTGAATAGAGGTAATCAGGGAGTAGACTGTTATATCATTTTTTCCCCCTAGTGCATTCACATCTGCTTTAGTCCTGTATCTTCACAAAAGCTTTTTGAGGTTAATTGGGCATAGGCTATTGCCCATATTTTACAGATGAGAAACTCAGTTGAGAGGGGTTAAAACTGGCTTGCCTGAGGAGAGTTGGTGTCAACCTTGGCGCCTAAAATGCAGTTTTAATGATGCACTTCTTATTTTTACCCCTTAGACCAGGCCTCAGCTGTCATTGAGCAGAGTTACCCATCAGTTCTTCTCATTATTGCAAGTCCTCGGGCCTCAGTGGACACCATATACCAAAACACACACCATAGAGTTAGGAAGAAGAAAGTTCTTGAGAAAGGTGTGTGCTTGCCACCCCTTTCTTGGATTGTAAGCCCTTTACACCTGTACGACTTTAGCAGGAAGCTTGACCTCAGTGCTTTTACCTCTGAAGAGATATTGCCTGGGAATGTGATCTAGCAATGTATCTTATTTAAAAATTTCTGGGCCCTGGGGCCTGACCCCTAGTGCCTGTTCTCACGTATAACAATGTCCTTGATTCTGCTTTGACCACTCCAGCTTCCATTGGTTCCTCTTACTTTGCATGCACTGTAAGACATGGATGTTCTCCAGGGGTTGTATCTTAGGTCTTTTCTCTTAGCTCTCCCATTGCTTAAGGGGGTGCTAATGTGCTTTTCTGATTCTCAGATTTCTATATGTATTCCATAAGTGTCCCCTGAGCTCTCTGACTTAGTTTGAATTTCTCCATCTGAAGGCTTCCCCAAGCAAAAACAATCCCTCATATTGTCTGCACTAGAATCCAAGAGTGATTGGTAACTTCTTCCTCTTCCTCATCTCCTTGATGGAGTGATCTCCAAGTTCTAGTGGATTCTGCCCCCCAGCTTTCTCAGCTTTGCCTAGAACTGGTTCCTAATTTTAGGAGCTAGTTTTTTTCAAGAGCCTCCTGATCTCCATATTTCCTCACTTTATATCATCATCTTGTAGATCATTGCCAAATGTCTTTTAAAAGACAGATGTGATCCTTGTTTAAAAATCTTGGATTAAAGTCCAGTTCTTTCAGTATAATATGGAAAGCCCCTCACTGGTCTCTCTAACCTATTTCTTTATTCTTATCGATTTTCATTTATACATATTTTATTTTCCCCCCTAATATTTTAGATTATTTTCTACTCCTAACTTTCTCAAGTTCTTTTTTCTAACTTTCTAATGTTATCTCAGTCTTCTCTCCTCTTCCTTCTGAAGTTCTTACCATTTTCTCATCACCTCTTAGGCTTTCATACCTCTGTGCTGTATAGCACTTTTCCCAGCTGCTTAGTCCATTCACCTTTAATTCCTGCACATACTTCCCCCTCCAAATAAAGTAAAACTATTAGCCATTTTTTAAGAAAATATGTTTTTATTGATTTCAGAGAGAGGAAGGGAGATAGAAGCATCAATGATGAGAGGGAATCACAGATTGGCTGCCTCCTGCACACTCCCTACGTTCCCTACCGAGGATCGAGCCCACAGCCCAGGCATGTGCCGTGACCAGGAATCAAACCATGACCTCCTGGTTTATGGGTTGCTACTCAACCACTGATCCACATTAGCCAGGCTATTAGCCACTTTTCCCCCCACAGAACTTTTATTCATTTGCTAAAGCATTTGTTGGCTATTATAGTTGCGTCCTTCCATTTGTTCAGTGCCACTGCCTCTAGGACAGAAATTGTTCCGTCCACTTTAATAGACCCTTATAGTGTGTAGTATCTGGCACATTGTAGGAACTTGGAAAATAAGTTTGAATGAACGATAAGCCCTGTGAGTTTTTTTATAATTAGAGATGATTACAGAGATAGACACTCCAGACATTATCTCCATACCTCAGGGAAAAGGTTGAAAACCTTTACAAGCAGATTGTTAGCTGTTCTATTGTTGAGTGATGTCTTAAAAACCTTTATTGGTAGCTTTTTCTAGTACCTAATACCCCAACTAACATAGGCAGAGCTCCCTTTATCCAAATGAAAATTATTTTTTTTCCAGCAAAGACACATTCTGTCTTGTTCTCACTAGAGAACCAGCTGCTAAGTAACTTAGGCCAGTGTTTCTGGGTCCTTTTTATTACGATGTTCTTTGCCAGTTTTTTCATAGTACAGTATGTGAGCCAGAGGGACCTGGTAGAAGTGGGTGGTGGCTAGAGACTGGGATGCAACAAGTATTTACACAATGGGGGTTAACAGGTAATGAGAAAGAAGGAGAGAGCAAAAAATGAGTAATGAAAGGGTTTGGAAATAAATGGTTTTTAAACAGATGTGAAGGTAGTATTTAAGGGTTTTCTTATAAGGACACATGTGGGCTGGGCTATAATATAATCAGAAACTCCGCAGCTGGAAGACCTGGAAATGATCTTTTCTGCCTCATTTCTGCTCTCTAAATGTTCTGCTCTCTGCATGTGCTGCTGCTAATACTCTTCATCTACTCTATAACTTTGGTTACAGCACGGCTTTCTTTGCCTTGCCCCTGCCCTTCCAGCCTGTCTTCTGATTCCTCACTCCTTTTCTCTGTCTCTGTATTGTACTAGTATATAATTCACATAACATAAAATTTACCCTTTTAAATCGTACAGACATTGATTTTTACGATATCCATAAAGTTGTGCAATTATCACCACTATCTAATTCCAGAACATTTTTATCACCCTAAAAAGAAACCCTGTACCCATTAGCAACCATTCCCTCCCCTCTCTCCCCCCACCGTTTACTCCCATTCGTAGGGAACCACTTGTCTACTTTCTGTCTTTATAGATTTGCCTATTCTGGATATTTCACATAAAAACAATCATACAACAATTAGCCTTTTGTGATTGTTTTCTTTCACTTAGCATGTTTTGAACTTCATCTATATTGTAGCATGACCCTGTCATCTCTAGCCACTGCCCTGTTATCTTGTCAACTTAACTCATACTATCTCTAGTTGTACCTTTCCCACTTCTGACGTCACCACTAACTGCCTGTTTCTGTTAACCAGTTCCAGGCTCTTTAGAGCAGTGCTGGGCAATAGAGCTTTCTGTGATAATAAAAATGTTCTGTATCTCTGCTGTCCTATGCAGTGTCCTCTAGTTACAAGAGGCTAGTGTGAGTGAGGAACTGGATGTTTAAAATTAAATTTAAATAGCCACATGTGGCTAGTGGCTGTTGTCTTGCTCAGTGCACTTGTAGAGGAACTCGGTTGGTCAGGCCTATCTTTCTGTTTTGAGCATAGGTCATGGTCTTAGGTTTCTGGCCAGCCAGTGGATCAGCAGGGCCCTGGGGATGGGAAGGAAGTGGGACAGAACATTAGCTCTGTCCTCTGAGCTGGGTTTGGGTTGGGAAGTTTCAAGACGGGTAAAGATAGCAGAAAGAGAAAAGGGAGTTTAGGAATTTTGAATAGATACATGCTTTGAAAATAAAACTTTGTTTTCCCTTCCCTGTTTATCTTCCCTGTTTATCTACTCTGTTTTCCTATCGCATGTTTCATGAAGAATCAGGTAGACAAGGCAGCCTCTGGTCCTGATTTCTTATTCTTTTTTTAAATTTATTTCAGAGAGGAAGGGAGAGGGAGAGAGCGGTAGAAACATCAAAGAGAGAGAATCATTGATCAGCTGCCTCCTGCACACCCCTTACTGGGATTGAGCCAGCAACTCAGGCATATGTCTTTGAGTGGAATCAAACCCGGGACCCTTCAGTCCGCAAACTGACGCTCTATCCACTGAACCAAATCAGCTGGGGTGACTCAGTTTCTCATTCTTTATGATTTGCTAGTTGCTGCCATTATTGCCTCTGCTGTCAGAAGTAGAACGTAGAGGTGGGTTTGTGCCTACTGGGGATGTGCCCGCAACCAAGGTACATGCCCTTGACCGGAATTGAACCTGGGACCCTTCAGTCCGCAGGCCAGCGCTCTATCCACTGAGCCAAACCAGCTAGGGCTTATTCTATTTTTAATTTAATTTATTGGGGTGTCACCAGTCAACAAGATTATATAGGTTTTAAGTGTAGATTTCTATGATACATGATCTGTATATTGCATTGTGTGCCCACCATCCAAAATCAAATTATCTTCCATTATCATATATTTTGCTCCCTTAACCCTCTACTACAGGTAGATCGATCCTGTGACAATCAAGTAATCATAAGATAATAGCTGCTCTTTAATTTGTGAGTCCTCTTTATGCACAGCATTTATTTTTATGAGGGTTAGTTGCTTAAATAGGGGAATTGTTGAGAACAAGAAATTTCTCCCATCCCACATTGAGTATGTGCTTACTTTGAACCAGGCACTATACCAAGTGTGGCTACAAGGATGAATAAGAAATAAAATTGTTTCTGCATTCAAGGAGCTCTAGACTAAGAGCTAGAGAATGGGGACCCTCTACAGACATAGTGACAAGAGTTTGTTTAGCCTGGCCAGTGTGGCTCAGTGGAGGTCAGTGTTCCATTCCCAGTCAGGGCACATGCTTGGGTTGCGGGCTCATGGGGGGGGGAGGGAGATCATGCAGGAGGCAGCCAATCAGTGCTTCTCTCATCATTGGTGTTTTTCTTTCTCCCTCTCCCTTCCTCTTTGAAATCAATAAAAATATATGTTAATGCTAGGTTCAGTAAAGGTGATGTGAGACTAGCCCTGGTGGCTGTTCAGTTACAAGAGATTTAGGAATTAAAAGACAGTGGTTGAGCTGCTTTTATAGATTCATCATTCTCAATGATCTTCAAATACTATTCAGAAGATAGCAGTGGAATATATCCCAAGAAATCAGAAACACCAATCAGAAAGGATATATACACCCCTATGTTCATAGCAGCACAATTCACAAAGCTAAGATTTGTAAACAGCCTAAGTGCCCTTCAGCAGATGAATGGATTAAAAAACTGTAGTACTGCCCTGGCCGGTTTGGCTCAGTGGATGGAGTGTCGGCCTGCGGGCTGGGGGGTCCCGGGTTCGGCTCCGGTCAGGGGCATGTGCCTTGGTTGTGGGCACATCCCCAGTAGGGGGTGTTCAGGAGGCAGCTGATCGATGTTTCTCTCTCATCGATGTTTCTAACTCTCTATCCCTCACCCTTCCTCCCTGTAAAAAACCAATAAAATATTTTTTAAAAAACTGTAGTACATCTACACAATGGAATACTATGCTGCTGTAAAAAAGAAGGAACTCTTACCATTTGCAACAGCATGGATGGACCTGGAGAGCATTATGCTAAACGAAATAAGCCAGTTGGGGAAAGATAAATATCACACGATCTCTCTCATTTGTGGAATATAATGAACAACATAAACTGATGAACAAAAATAGATCCAGAGACATAGAAGTGTGGAACAGACCATCCAACCTCAGAGGGAAGGCGAGGGGGAGGGTAAGAGCAACCAGAGGACTTGTATGCATGCAGATAAGCATAACCCATGGACACAGACAGTAGAGGGGCGAGAGCATATGCTGGTGAGTGGGAAGGGCTGGGCAGAGGTCGGGGGGGGGGGGGGGGGAGGAGACATGTAATACTTTAAACAATAAAGAATTTTAAAAAAAAGTGTAAAAACGTGTTTCCTTTAATGAAAACTATTACTTTATTTAGGGTTAGATATTACAACATGGCAAATTTGAATATGGTGATATGGTTTTGGATTAAACAGCCAACACTAGCATAAAAGTTCATTATGATGGCTCTTTGGAATTTAAGTTGTTACTGATGTAGATCTTAAAACAATGGTAGGGAAGGTCTTTGATTTATTTTGAATGGTAGAAATATTTGTAGTGTAAGAATCTCCTGAGGTTCTTGGCAATTGCAGGGGTAGCAATGAAGGTATTAAAGTATGAGCATTAGAAGTTTGGTGAGAGGATTGGAGGAATTTGTTGGAATGGTTGCAGTTGGTAAGGGAACTAACTGGTAAAGTCTTGGAAAAGTAGCATTAAATTGGATAACTTAGAAACAGTAAAAACCTAGAATGATGATATCATTGTTTATGTTTATATAACAACTAGAAGCCGGGTGCAGGTCTGTGGCGGGGGGGGGGGGGGGTGGCCTCAGGCGGTTGGCTGTTCAGCTCCGACCCCTGGTCAAACTCCCAGTCGAGGGGAAATTTGCATATTAGTCTTTTATTATATACTAGAGGCCCGATGCACAAAATTTGTGCAAGAATAGGCTTTCCTTTCCCCAGCTGCCAGCACCAGCTTCCCTCTGGCACTCGGGACCCAGGCTTCCCTCACAGCCCCGGCTTCATCCGGAAGGAAGTCAGATCTAATTAGCATATTACCCTTTTTTTATTATAGATAACAATCATTTGTTAGAGTTTAAGAGGCAAACCTTTGTTTTGGTGGGGGGCGGGGGGGCTATCTCAAGAGCACCAGAATTAAGCACATGATACACATTCAAAGACCAACATTCTAGTCAGTCCATAGCTTCGGCCTTGGAAATCAAGTGCTTCTGTTCTAATGTCTACTGAAAGAAAACTTTTAAACTATCATTGTACTATTGAGAGTCCTGAATCTTATAATTAATAGTCCTTTGTTTATTTTATGGACATTTAAAAAAAACCTTTGTTAAAATTATTAAAATTTGCTTTAGAAACTCTGCCTTTTAAGTTTTTCTGAGAATTCTCATGCTAGATAAGGAATAAGTGACACTCAATTTCTTAATTAAAACCTAGGACAGTGATGGCGAACCTATGACACGCGTTTTTTTGGTTGATTTTTCTTTGTTAAATGGCATTTAAATATATAAAATAAATATCAAAAATATAAGTCTTTGTTTTACTATGGTTGCAAATATCAAAAAATTTCTATATGTGACACGGCACCAGAGTTAAGTTAGGGTTTTTCAAAATGCTGACACACCGAGCTCAAAAGGTTCGCCATCACTGCCCTAGGATGTCCTAATCGAAATGGCAGCTTTAGTTTGGGATCTAAATCTAATGGGAGGGGTGACCATGGTGAGGGGGGACCTGGGAACTCTGGTAAATTGAATGGATGTCATGAAAGGAAGTAGATTCCCCCACCCCCCACTTTCCCAGGAAGTAGTTGAGGTCTTTAAAGGAAACAAAACTCCCTTTAGAGAGCAACATGAATGCATAATAGTAGTTTTATTTTATCTTATGCAGCTCAAAGAAAATGAACGGCACCCTGGACCACCCAGACCAACCGGATCTTGATGCTATCAAGATGTTTGTGGGCCAGGTTCCGAGGACCTGGTCTGAGAAGGACTTGAGGGAACTCTTTGAACAGTATGGTGCTGTCTATGAAATCAACGTTCTAAGAGATAGGAGCCAAAACCCTCCTCAGAGCAAAGGTGAAGATTTGAGTTTTATGTGCAATTTTTTGTCACGTGCTTACTGTCTCATTGTCAGAATGTTCCTATGGTCATATGGGGTGGGGGGGAATATGTTCTTTTATAGTCCCTATTAGAGACCCGATGCATAAAATTTGTGCAAGAGTAGGCCTTCCCTCCGGCTGCCGGAATCGGCTTCCCTCTGGCCACCGGCAGGCACCCAGGACCTGGGCCTCCCTTGCAGCCCCAGCTTCGTCCTGCAGGACGTCCAATCTAATTAGCATATTACGCTTTTATTATTATAGATATATTCCAGGCCAAAATCAATTTAATGCCTTAAAAATAAAAAATTAAAGTGACTTAATGAGGTTGATTTGTAATTTGGATCTTGGGTAGTCCATTTAGTAAACCGATCACATAAGGTTTTCTTTAGTGTTTTGGCTATGGTAAGCTAATTCTAATGGGAGGGGTAGGCCATGGAAAGAAAAAGACTGTCCCTTTACCCATGGATTTCTGTTATTGTATATAAAAGCCTTGCAGGCTGACTTAGCAACTAGGAGAACCTTTTTTGTAGGTAACCTATTTGCTATAGCTTATAAAATGAACAGGAGAAGAAAGGTTGAACTGCTTCCAGATATATCCAGCAGAGTGGAAGTTTCACAGGACTGATGGTCAATAAAGCATAACCTTTGCCACTACACACACAGACATACTCTTATATTTCCAAGTGACGGACTCAGAATAATTTTCTGTGAAAGCTATTCTACAGTGCAAATATCAACAAGTATGATTGTCATGTTTGAAAACCAGTTTAATAGCAGGATCTAGAAGCAGAGAGATTAATTTTTACTTTTGGCATACTTAACCAAAAATATAAAGTATTGTAGTTTCAGCTCTGGCTGGGTAGCTCAGTTGGTTAGAGTGTCATCCCAGTATGCCAAGGTTGCAGGTTTGATCCTAGTTCAGGGCACATACAAGAATCAACCAATGAATGCATAAATAAGTGGAACAACAAATTGATATGGTCTTCTCCCCCCCACTCCCTCGCCTGCTTCTGCTCTTTCTCTAAAGTCTTGTAGTTTCAGAAAATGACTGGCAATATAATGTGCAGTAATTTAAATCTTAATTGCAGAGTGATTTTTAAAGACATCTGTATCGTGTCTCTTGGACTATGGACCCAAGATTTACAAAATACACCTCCTCCCTCTTATCCCCAGCGAAGATACAAAGCACAAAATTTACAGATCTCAGTTAGCACCATGTGCTGCTAGAAATATAATTATATTTGATGAGAACTAAGAGTCCCTCAAAAAAGATACTAAGAGGTTCTTGCTTTTAAATCATTTTATAATTTAAAATGATAATTATGTTTGAGGCATATGATAGAAATTGGCTACAATGTAAGGAGTGGTTTATTCTAAAAGAGAAAGTTTTTGAAAGATGAAGAGCTTCTGATAGACGAAGAGCTACAAGTGTTTAAGGCCCCTCTTTGTCTTGTTTGTAGTTGAGTCCTCTTGCCCAGCACACTACCTGATGCTCCAAATAGGGTGGGTTGAATGGCTTGGTACTGTGACCTTTGTAAGGGAAGTCATCTTTCCCAGAGAAGTGATAGGAGCAGCTAAAGAAGAATTTTAATAGAACTAAGAGACTATAACAATAAAGAAAATGTGTAGAAAAAAATGTGGGATTTTGTTGTTTTTTTCTCTGCTAGGTTTTCTCTCTCACTAATTTTAATAAACCTTACCCTTTCTTTTTAAATTCTAATACAGGGTGGAGCAAATGTATATTTACAGTTGTTTGGGGAATAATGCAATAAATACTAGCGATGCAAGAATAAACTCTGTTTTGCATACTCACAACTGTAAACCTACTTTTGCCCCAACCCTGTATGTCCAGGGAGTACTGGGTGCTCTAGGAATTCTCTACTTTCAAAAGACTGGTTTGATTTGTGAAATGGTCTTTATTGCAGGGTGCTGTTTTGTTACATTTTACACCCGCAAAGCTGCATTAGAAGCACAGAATGCTCTTCACAATATGAAGGTCCTCCCAGGGGTAAGAAAGCTCCTACTAAGTGGAACTGTGGTGGTTTTGACACATGGCATGTACTTATATGTATCAGATACACATTGAAAACCATTTTGGGGGAAGGGTGACTTTCACAGGAATGGATGTAAAGGGAACTTTTAAAGATGATAGGCTGAAAGTAGTTCTTTCTCAGCCAAGAGAATTTTTACTTCTTAATTCAGAGTTCTATCTATTCTGATATTTTGTGGGGCAAAGGTCATGAAGCAGATGTGAGTTCAAGAGAACTCTTACAGGCTTTAGTTTTGTTACTTCTTTAGAGTCCTCATTTATATTTCTGCTTCAGTGTGTACAGCGATAATATTCACATGTTCTCCTTTTCAGATGCATCATCCTATACAAATGAAACCTGCCGACAGTGAGAAGAGCAATGGTAAGCAAGCACGTAGGCCCTCCCCTTATCAGGTTTTTTTCTAGTCTGCTGTTCTCATGGCATTTGGATTGCATTGTGCTCTAAGTAATTCCTTTTTGAGGTAGAAGTGACATATAGTATTATGTTAATTTCAGGTGTACAGCATAATGTTTTGATAAATATTGTGAAATGATCACCACCATAAGGCTAGTTAAAATCTGTCACCATACTTGCTTACAAAAATTTTTTCTTGTGATGGGAACTTTTAAGATCTACTCTCTTAGCAACTTTCATATATGCAGTATAGTATTATTAACTGCAGTCTCCATGCTGCAGCTTACATCCTCATGACTTACTTATTTTATAACTGGAAGTTTGTACCTTTTGGGCCCCTTCACTGGCAACCATCAATCTGTTTTCTGTATGAGTTTGGGGTTTGTTTTCTTTTTTTAAGATAGAAGCGAGGTCATACTGGTATTTGTCTTTTCCTGTTTGACTTATTTCACTTAGCATAACACCCCCAAGTTCCATCCATGTTGTCACAAATGGCAAGATGTTATTCCTTTTTATGACTGAATCATATTTCTCTGTGTGTTTGTGTGTGCGTGTGCTGCGCACACACATTTTCTTTATTCAATTATCACTGTACACTTTGATTATTTCCGTATCTCGGCTGTTGTAAATAGTGCTGTAATGGATATAGGTATCCATGTATTTTTTTGTTAGTGGTTTCATTTTTGTCGGATAAATACCCAGAAGTGGAATTGCTGGATCATGTGGTAGTTCTAGTTTTAATTTTTTGAGGAGCTGCCATACTATTTTCTATAACGGTTGCACTAATTTACATTCCCACCAACAGTGCACAAGGGTTCTTTTTTCTCTGAATTCTTGCCAACATTTGTTCCTTTCTTGGCTTTTTTTGTTTGTTTTTTGTTTTTGTTATCCTCACCGCAGGATATTTTTCCCATTTCCCCTTTTTTTTTTTTTTTTTTTTTTTTTTAGAGTGCAAGGGAAGGAAGGGGGTGGGGGACATCGATGTGAGAGAGACACACATCTAATTGGTTGCCTCACACACATCCCTACCAGAGCTGGGGATCAAACCTGCAATCCAGGTACATGCCCTTGAATCCGCGGCCCTCCGGTTTGCAGAACCACACTCTAACCACTTAGCCATGCCAGTCAGGACCCTTTCTTGGCTTTTTGATAATAGCCATTCTAATAGGTGTGAAGTGATACCTCACTGTGGTTTTGACTTGCATTTTCCTGATAATTAGTAATGTTGACCATCTTCTTATGTGTCTGTTGTCCATATATATGTCTTTTTTTGGGAAATGTCTATTCAGATCCTCTGCCCATTTTTTAATCAAATGTTTTTTTTTCTCTTTTTTTGCCTTTGAGTTGTATCAGTTCTTTATATTTTTTGAATAGTAACCCCTTATCAGATATATGATTTGCAAATATTTTCTCCCATTTTATAGGTTGCTTTTTCATTTAGTTGATTTTTCTTGCTGTGCAGAAGCTTTTTATTTTGTAGTCCCACTTTTTTATTTTGCTTTTGTTGCCCTTACTTTTGGAGTCAGATCCAAAAAAAGTCATTGCCAGAACTGATGTCAAGGAACTTACCAAGTATGGTTTTCTTCCAGGAGTTTTATGTTTTCAAGTCTAATCCATTATAGTTAATTTAAAAAAATATATTTTTTTATTGATTTCAGAGAGGAAGGGAGAAGGAGAGAGAGCTAGAACCATCAGTGATGAGAGAGAATCACTGATCGGCTGCCTCCTGCATGCTCCACACTAGGGATTGAGGCTGCAACCAGGCATGTGCCCTTGACTGGAATCGAAACTGGGACCCTTCAGTCCGCAGGCCAACGCTCTATCCACTGAGCCAAACCAGCCAGGGCCATTTTAGTTGATTTTTGGTGTATTGTATAAGATAGTGGTTCATTGCTCTAATGTCATCTAAAATGTCTTTTTTTTCTTTAAAATAAGTATGGCAGATAACTGAGATAAACAGAGTTGATAGGGAAACATTACAAGAACTTTTTATAGTGAACTGGAATATCTTTGATCAATATAATTTCTTATGGGTAGAAGTGAAGAGGGAAAATGAACAAATTAGGAAGGAGAACTTAGTCCTCAAGAGGATAGTCAGAAAAGGAAAGTGGATGTAGTTAGCCTCTCTGTAAGGTGTGTCCTGTTTTTCTTACCATATTAATTAAATGTGCAAACTCATTCTTTAGCATAGTAGTATTGCTAGTAAGAGCAAATATTACTGAGTGCTAGGCAAGAACCTAAGTACTGTGCTTTTCATACCTACAGCTACCTTTGAGGTAAACCCCATTTCCCTACCAGTCAGATGAGGAAACAGGCACAGAATGGTTAAGTAACTTTCACAAGCTCATAAAGCTATTTCTTTTCATCTAAGTGCTTTCAGTGATATTTTTAAGATACCATTGTTTATAAGAGGAGGTGCTAACTTATGGGGGGGAAAGGTACATCTTATAATCTGTGAAATATGGTATAAATGCACTAGAGCCAGGTTTCAAACCCAAGTGGTCTTGACTCCAGAGTCTGTGCTCTACTATCTCTAGTAGTAATAATGTTCAAGCCTTCTGTGTTTTATTCTCTTAGCAGTGGAAGACAGGAAGCTGTTTATTGGTATGATTTCCAAGAAGTGCACTGAAAATGACATCCGAGTCATGTTCTCTTCATTTGGACAGATTGAAGAATGTCGGATATTGCGGGGACCTGATGGACTGAGCCGAGGTGGGTACATTTTTTAACTTTAAAGACGCTCATCTTGTACTTGGCTGGTTTAGCTCAGTGGATAGAAAGTTGGCCTACGGACTGGAGGGTCCCAGGTTCAATTCCAGTCAAGGGCACATGCCTGGGTTGTGGGCTCGATCCCCATTAGGGAGCGTGCAGAAGGCAGCCAATCAGTGATTCTCTGTCATCATTGATGTTTCTGTCTCTCTCTCCCTCTCTGAAATCAATAAAAATATATTTTTTTAAAAAAAAAAAGATACTTATCTTGCCCCTGGCCTGTGTAGCTCACTTGGTAAGAGTATTGTCCTGATATGTTAAGATTGCAGGTTTGATCCCCAGTTCGGGTACATACAAGAATCAGCCAATTAATGCATACATAAGTGGAACAATAAATTGATGTTTCTCTCTCTGTATATATAAAATTTTAAAAGATGCTTATTTTGAATTTGGAGTTGTTTTTTTAATCTGACCAGTGGAAACCAGTAATCCCTAGCCAATATGGCTCTGTCATGATGGAGAAGTTGGGCTAGAAGTTGTATGTATAGGTCCTATCACAACTCTTCCTTAATTTGATCCCTTTTGTATTCTCCCAACATCCTTAAGGAGTTTATATTCTGTTCTTCAGTATCATGTATTAAAATTCTCTCTTTTATGCTTGGAGTGGTTCTTGATGTTAAAATGGAAACACTTTCTTCACAGGAGGAACTTGATGCTATGAATCCTCCTTTATCTTTTAAGCACTTTGTTTCTTATTTCTGCTTCCCTGGGTTTTCGTTATAGCATTTACCACTCTGGTGTAACATAGTTCTCTCTTCATGAAACTCTGAAGGCAGGAACCATGTCTATACGTATTGCTAGCATGGTACTTGCTCATAGTTAAGTGCTCAGTTAATGTCTATAAGTAAGTAAGCGGATGAATGAGTTATTGACCCTTCTTTTACCAGGTTGTGCATTTGTGACTTTTACAACAAGAGCCATGGCACAGACAGCTATCAAGGCAATGCACCAAGCACAGACCATGGAGGTAGGGAGATGAATGCAAGGGGGAATTCCTTAGCCTGAGAGTGCTAGGACTTTGGGCTTCAAAGCCCAGTATCATGTATAACATATGGTGGTTCTAAAAGTTAAGCAGGCCAAACGTCTTAAAAGTTAAAAACTGATGATTTCTTTAACAGATTGGATGTTATTAAATGAAAGTTAAAATTAATATATTGGAACTAGTTGCCCTTTTAAATTGTCTTTTGCATGTATTAGGAAGAGAGTCATTTGGCAGCGAATGAAATTAGAATGCAGCCTGTGTGTCACTAGAAAGGAGGATTTTTCCTTCACCCAGAAGGAGGAATTTGACCCTTTGGTTTTGGTGTTTTCATAGGGTTGCTCATCCCCCATGGTGGTAAAATTTGCTGATACACAGAAGGACAAAGAGCAGAAGAGAATGGCCCAGCAGCTTCAGCAGCAGATGCAGCAAATCAGCGCAGCCTCTGTGTGGGGAAACCTTGCTGGTCTCAATACTCTTGGACCCCAGTATTTAGCAGTGAGTCTTTGTGGTTTGCTTTCTGCAGACTGTGCAAGCTCCCAGCTGTTTCTTCTGCTATCCCCAGCAAACAGACACAATAGCATTCACAACTTTTAACACATTGAAATTTTATGTAAAAATTCAGGCAATGAAGTGTTCTTTAAGTCATGTTATTTTCTCTCTCTCTCTGGTCACACATCTTTGGTTATATCTTGAGGGTTTTGGTTATATGTTGAGTTGAAGTGAAACCATAATTTTCTGATAAAAAATTTTTTTAGAAACATCTTATGTCCCTACCCCCTAGGGAATAAAATTCCTGAGGGAATCTTAATTACAAAATAGCTTTTTCTATATCTCTTTCTATCGGGTGTAGAAGGCATCATTAAATACCTTGTTGATTCTCCCTGAAGAGTAGGATAAATGTTTCTTTCTGCTGATTGAGAGATCAGGCATGGACATTATGAAATAATGTCCATATATTTGAGTTTGCTGTGTTGTAAATAGATTTCTTTTAATTTGATCTCTTGTTGAGTTTAAGTTATATAGTCCAAAAGAGGGGCAGGCTCCACTTTATTATTAAGATTTACTAGGTCTGCAATATCACAGGAGATTTGCACTGTTTAAACCTTTAAAGGAATGCAGACAAGACAACATAATTAAAACTGTGCCATCGGTAAATCAGAATGAAAAGGTCATCTGTAAATCTACCAATGAAGGAAAATAAATGGTGAGACCACTAGATGTATATGGATAGTCAAAAAATATACACATAAGATAATAAGTCATCCATTCCTCATCCTTTCAAAGATTATTCTCTATGGAAACAGCAAAGACAATGATTTCTGCCCCCAGTACTGAATTTTGACTAATTTGATGCCTCCTGTCTCCATACTTCTAATATGTTAGAAGAAATCCCAGTTTCTCTGAAGTCCAAAAGTGAAGATGGTTGTTCTATTTCAATAGATCAAATTGTTTCTTAGTGCTTAAAAGTTTAGAAAATTCAGAGAAATTTTAGTCTTCTGCCAAAATGAGAATTCTTTGAAAATGATCTCCATGATACACATTAACTCCTTAGAGAGTTTAGAGCCTTTTTTTCAGGGAGCAGTCCCCATCCTGTTCTCGTTGCCAATCCAGCAAGTACATGGTGGTTTATGGTGAGAACTATGGTCTCTTTAATTTAGGTGTGATCCCCTCCCTAAGAGCTATTCTCATTTAGGGCAGAAATAAAGGGGACAAATACAATATGCACAGTCCACCAGCTGGGACTGAACACATTGCCCAAGGATTTAAGAAGACAAAAATGAAGGCATGGGTGCTAATGGGCTGTGTAAGTGATAGTGCATCATCATTCATTATGAGTTTTTTCTGGAGTATGTGGATTGAACCTGATCTCTATTGGATCAGAGTGGTGGTTTTTAATTTTTGTGGTATTGTGGACCCCTTTGAGAACCTGATACAAATCATGTGTATGTGGTTTTGGGGTTTTTTTGTCGTTTTTTCCCCCCTCATTCTGTTTCTGGAGGTTTGTAGATCTCCTGAGACCCGTGGATTAAAGGGATCCATGATAGAGAAACCAAATCAGATGCTTGTGGGAATGGACAACAGGTTGAATAAAGGATCTAGAAACAAGAATACCAATTGTTCATAATGAACAGTGATTGCATTTGAATGGAGCAAATGTTTTCAGCAGGTTGATTAGGTGAAGATTATAGTTTACTATGATACAAAAGAAGATCAAGGTCATGGAGATCCATAAGCTCATGGACAGGTCCTCTTGTTACATTTATTATGGACATCCATTGAAAGAGTATGTACACTGAACTGATAAGGACTGCTTCATCAGTCATTCGGTCATCTGCAACAGTAAAGACCAATTTCGAGGGGAGTAGATAACTGGGCTCGATGGATGTGTAGCATGGGAGAGGTTGATCTAGACATGGATCTGTTGTGGCTGATAAAGTGTGACACTAAGAAATACCCTGAAATAGTGAGATTTTATATTTAAAATAATTGAAATAGAAATTGGGTATCCAGATGGAAATAGAAATGGCAGGCATCCACCCACAGACACTCACCGCAGTCGATTACAGAGCTGCTTGAGTTGAGCTTAGTTCCCTGCTCTACTTCTGTTCTCTGCTGTGCTGCATTCTGTCGCCAAGCACTTGAGCTTGGCTCAGAACTCAATGAGCATTACTGTCTTCTGGTCCAGGGCTTTAGCTGTGTTGTATTGTATTGTGCTGTCATAAGCCTTATGTTTCTGTTGTGTTGGCTTGGGTTCTTGTCTTCAACATTCTTCTCTCTGGGGGCCTCTGCACTCTCGCTTTGCTGTGCTGTAGAGTTATCCCAGATGCAGAACCAGCCCTCACTCTCACTCTTGTTCTGTTTTTTGGTGTAATGTCTAGCTTTATTTGCAGCTCCTTCAGCAGACTGCCTCCTCTGGGAACCTCAACACCCTGAGCAGCCTCCATCCAATGGGAGGTAAGTGTCTCACTGCTGTGGAGGAGCAGCAGCAGCCAGGCCATCAGACCCAGCTAACAGCAGTCTGAGAGTTTGCACCGTTTGTGCAGAAAAAAACTATTTTCCACTCACGTAAACCTGACCTAAAATGAACGTCACAGGATTCAACTGCCTTGTCTCTAGAAGGTGACTCTATTAGTCATTTATGCCAGATTGTTCTGGAGTTGTCTACTGCTCCCCACTACTTTTAAGCGTCTGTTGAGGAAGAAGATAGAAAAGAGTTGTTAGCACCAGCTGACTACCTGAGGCCATTTTAATCAGGAGAAAGTTGCAGGAACCCTTTATTTCCACAATAAAGTGACTTTTCCAGTGACTGAAGAAAAGCCTAAGAAATACTTTAATTCAAATAGCTTACCCTGAAGTTGCTAGAATCCAGGCAGTTAGTTTGCCTCTGTGTCTTATACATTTATTTCATAGGTGAATTACCTTTTGTTGCGGTTAACGTGCATGGAAAACTTAATTGACAAACACCGGAGTTTATAACAAAATAGAGCTCCATAGACAAACCCGAGGCAGGTTCCATCAGAATACTTAGTGGGGGTGGGGGACAGGAGCTGCCCCTCCCCTTTGGCTGTGGGATAAGGCTAGGCAAGTGCATTTGAAATTGGGGTGGTCTTAGGTGAACTGCATTTATATGAAAAATTTTGATAGTGGTTCACTTTGTCCCAAGGACTGAGAAAGTTGCTAGATTGTAAATCTGTGTTGTTTTTATTCTCATTAATTCTTCCCTCCACCCTTCTGCCTTTCCATCATCTAAATGGTTTGCAACACATTGTCAGTGCAGTTCAAGTTTCTTCTCCTTTTAATTGTTGTCCAGGTTCTACTTGGAAGTTTTTCCCTCTGTTTTTTTCTCTCTTCTGATGATTAATCTGCTATTCAAGTGGTGGTGTGGTTTTTTTTTATTCTTTGTCCTCTTGCTGTTCTCACATGTATTCTCCCCTGTCGTTCCTTCCTTTCTGGGTCTCTGCTACATTTTCTGCTTATTCACCTCCATTTCAAAGAGCACATCCCCTGTGAAGTCTGAGTGAGGGGCTCAGATGCAGTCCCATTCGATGCCACAGGTGTGGGCATTGTTGTCCTCTTGGACACCTGAGCCCATAGTAGACCACTGACCAACCCCCTTTCTTGGATTCCTGATTGCCCATCCTTTTGTTACTAGTAATACTCACTTGGGGTGGTATGCTATTGGATTAGATACCTCTTCTCTGAGGAAATGGTATCAAGTTTCTTAATGAGTTGAAGGATATCTGAATCTTTTTGGAGCCCTGTAACCTTGCTTGTAAGGCTTATCTAGAATATTTCCTCTTTGGAACTAGCCTTCCATTGGTGTGAGCTGTTGTTCCAGGAGCAGATAAGGAGGCACTCTTATCTGCTCGCTGATCTCTTGCTTTGGATGTTGCAGGGTTAAATGCAATGCAGTTACAGAATTTGGCTGCCCTAGCTGCTGCTGCTAGTGCTGCTCAGAGCACACCGAGTGGTACCAACGCTCTCACTACGTCCAGCAGTCCCCTCAGCGTACTCACCAGTTCAGGTAAGCATGTAGCAGGGGCCAGTGGGCCCTTGTGTGCCTTGGGCAGAACCCTAAGAGAGGGGCACGTCATTCTGAGAGCAGTTAATACCCATTTCCAAAGGGGACAGATGATGAACAACAAATTTTCAAATGCCATCTTCAAACTTGAGACACATCTGATAATTTTTAAATTTCTTGTAATCATTTGTTTTTATGTCCAGCAGGAACAGTTATCAAAATTAGTAACTGAAAACTTTTTTCTAAGAGAATGCTTAAGTAGTACCATTCTTGGGCTTTGGTTCCTGCTCAGAAGGCAAGTGTTGGCTTGAGTTTAAGTCGTGGATTTCTTGTCGCAGGGTCTTCACCGAGCTCCAGCAGTAGCAACTCTGTCAACCCCATCGCCTCCCTTGGAGCCTTGCAGACATTAGCTGGAGCAACAGCAGGCCTCAATGTCAGCTCGTTGGCAGGTGAGAGGCAGCCCATGGATGTCATCAGGCCTTCCTTTGTGCAGGTAGCACATTATAAACAACCCTGGTAAGGGTACTGTTAGAATGATTGAGTAGCCCAGTGAACCAAAAGATAATTATGAGTTGCCCTTGCTGGGGTGGCTCAGTTAGGCATCATCTGTGCATCAAAAGGTTGCAGGTTCAATCCTCTGTCAGGGTTGTGGGCTTAATCCCTGGTAATGGGCATGCAGGAGGCAGCTGATCAATGTATTGCTCACATCTATGTGAGGATCGAGCCCACAACCCAGGCATGTGCCCCCGACCAGAATCGAACCCAGGACCCTTGAGTCCACAGGCCAGCGTTCTGTCCATTGAGCCAAACCAGCTAGGTCAACTCTCTCAAAATCTTTTAAAAAATAATAATCATGAGTTAAATCCCACCTCTACCACTAACCAGCTATAACTTTTGACCACCTTTCCAAAGTCATTTTCTTTTCTTTTTTTTAAAAAAATATGTTTATTGATTTCAGAGAGGTGGGGGGCAGAGAGAGAAAGAGAGAGAAACATCAATGATGAGAGAGAAACATTGATTGGCTGCCTCCTACACTCCCCATACTGGGGATTGAGCCCACAACCTGGGCATGTGCCCAGGAAACCTCTTGGTGCATGGGTTGATGCTCAACCACTGAACCATACCAGCCAGGCTTCAAGGTCATTTTCTTCATCTATGACATGGGGATAGGATACTTTGAGGGTTATTAAGAAGTCAGATGAGAACACAGGTAAAGTGTGAGCACATTGCTCAGTACAGAGTCTGGCATGTAGAATATCCTATGTAATAAAAGCCCAGTGACCGAACGGCGGAACAACCAGTCGACCAGTCACTATGACACACACTGACCATCAGGGGACAGACGCTCAATGCAGGAGCTGCCCCCTGGTGGTCAGTGCGCTACCACAGTGGGAGTGCCTCTTGGCTGACCGGGATGAGCGGTTGCTCCTGCTGCGAACCCCGGGCCGATGGGTAGGAACCCGGGCTGCAATCATGGCCTTCTCGCGCCAGGCTCCTCCTCACTCCCTGCTGCGGCCTCCTCCTCCTCCTCACTCCCTGCCGCCTTCTCCAGACGCCCGCAGACCACGCAGCACTGCCACTGCTGCGGGACTGAGGCCTACTCCGCCGCCTCTCAGTGCTATTGTCCCTGGGCCTGGCCCCGACCAGGTCCCATGGGAAGGCGAGTGCTCCAACTCCACGGAAGATGCCAGCTCAGAGAGCAGGTCCACAGCCGCTCAGCTGACCGGGATGAGCAGCCCTCCCATAGCAGGCCGATCCCCACAGGCCATGCCCCCACCAGTGCACAAATCCCATGCACCAGGCCTCTAGTACTCCATAATGTCACTGCTATTGCTAATGATAGAGTTTACCTACATCTTTTCATAGAGCACATGTGTCCCCTTTTGTCCCCAATCCTGGGACTCCTGTTTACCAGGTTCCAGCTCTGTGTGAGAAAGTGGCAGGTAAGCTAGAGAAAATGGGGCAAGTCGTGTAAAAGGTGTCACTTCTTGCACATATTGGAAGAAGGTAATGGGGAGAGCCACATCTGGGTGTGGCATTTTTTAATGTCCCCATTAGCAATGAGCTCTGGTGAGTGTCCTGAAGTCTGACCACTCATGGATATTCCGCCTCAGGGTGAAACTAGGAGCAAGATGAAAGGGAGGACTTTGGAATTTTTCTTTGGCATCAGTTGAGTCTTTCCAATACTGTTAATTCTGTTGTCTGCCCCAACCAAGGAATGGCTGCTTTAAATGGTGGCCTTGGCAGCAGTGGCCTTTCCAATGGCACTGGGAGCACCATGGAGGCCCTCACGCAGGCCTACTCGGGGATCCAGCAGTATGCCGCCGCGGCGCTCCCCACTCTGTACAACCAGAATCTGTTGACACAGCAGAGTATTGGTGCTGCTGGAAGCCAGAAGGAAGGTGAGTGCAAAGGGTGGCTGGGGTCGGGCGGGGTGGTTTCTCCATCTGCACCAGAACTGAACGGCAGGCGAAGGCTCAGAGTCCTTCAGGTGGTCCGACCACCCCTTCTCTTTGATGGTGTCGAAGATGGGCTGAGAAACTCCTAAATGTGACCTGCTTTTGGAATGTTTTCTGGATGTGACTCAGATTAGAACCTCTGTGCACCCTTCTGGGTTGGGGCTGCCATTTTAGATGAAGAAATACACCGACCTTACTGTGTCCGACACATTTGGCAATTAGGAAGCCTTCCCTGTGGGTTATAAATCTGTCAAAGGGTATCTGCTGGGTAGGTGTTCCTTTTAGCTTTAGCATTTGGTGTTTTTCTCACTTTCTGATCTGTGCTTTTCCTAAGTGAGGACAGACTGAACGCTGATGGGACAGAGCGTTAGGGCCCATGTGTTGATGCAGTGGGAAGTATGTGTTCTGATGGTATTAAGTTCAGGAGAGGCTTTCTCGGCAGTAAGGGGCCTGAGGTGGTTTATATGACCAGAAAGCCCTGCTGACACCTCTCTGCTTGTATTTGGATTATAAGCAGGAGCTGGCAAGGTTGAAGCACTAATGTGGGAAAAAGATAAGTATTCTCTCTTGCCATAGCAGCATCCTCTCCCGCTCTGAATCAGGCACTTATGTGCCCTAGAATGTAATAATAGGGGAACTGGTGGAACTATGCAGGCAGACAATAAACCAGTAAGAACACAGGGTATTCCAAATGATGGATGGGAAAGGGGATGGGGAGTGCCGGGAACACAGCATTTTATATGGAATGTTCAGAGAAGTTTTCTCTAAGTTGCCATTTAAGCAGAGGAAGACAGAGTGATGGGGACAGAGGAACAGCAAGTGCAAAGGCCCTGAGGCAGCAAGGTTCTTTAATGTGTTTGACAACATCAGGGAGGCCAGAGTGGCTAGAGAATTGGCTGCACTGTGGTTGTAATGAAACTCTTTTTTGGTTAGAAAATCGTTGAGTAGTTAGAAGAGGAAAGCATATTCTATTTTTGAGCTCAGTGTTAATCATAGTTTAAAAAGTAATTTCTTTTTACTGAAGCACAAGTGACATAAGGTAAAATTCACCTTTTTTGTAAGATAGCTCTATGAGCTTTGATGAATGCATACAGTCATGTAACCACCATCACAGTAGAACATTCTATCACCCCCAGAAATTTCCTCATGTCCCTTTGTAGTCACCCCCCCCCCCCACACTTGCTGCCTCAATGTATTTGCCATCCCTGCAGTTTCTAGGCACAATTTTGAAACCTGTTGTGTTTATAATTTTTTTCCTCCTCCTTTTCTGTATTTTTCTACAAGCATCTAGTCTCTGGTTTTATCCTCCACACGCAAGTCTGCCTATTTTATTGTCTCTGCACACCTTCCTCCTTCAAGGTCAAATTCTCACATCCCTCAGTAAGACACAGAGCATAGCTAAACATGAGGGAAGGGACCTGTTTCAGTGAATGCCCTTCAGTTCCCCGCTTAGTATTTGGAGAATCTGTTTAGTTCTCCAAATGAATGAATGAATCTGTTTGTTGGGGTTCGGATGGTTTTATTGGGTGGGGGAGGGGAGGATAAGCATGCTTCACACTGATATCTTTTTAATCAATGGATGTCTTGAAGGTCCAGAGGGAGCCAACCTGTTCATCTACCACCTGCCCCAGGAATTTGGAGATCAGGACCTGCTGCAGATGTTTATGCCCTTTGGGAATGTTGTGTCTGCCAAGGTTTTTATAGATAAGCAGACAAACCTGAGCAAGTGTTTTGGTATGTTGGTTTCTTTTCTGTTGTGTGTGTGTGTGTGTGTGTGTGTGTGTGTGTGTGTGTGTGTGTGTTGGGGGCTGATAAGTACTTTTACCACTGAAAAAGAAAGGGAAGGGGCTGATAGCAGAAACCTGGGATGGAGTTTGGGTTATTGTTTAACTCAGCCTTCAGCAGATTACGTGACCTCTTTTTGAGCCTGTTTCCCTCCCAGTCCCCCCCCCCCCCCCCCCCCCACTTCTGTAATGGGCTCAATGATTTCTGCCCACACTGTCTCTCCAGAGGATAAGATAAAGCAATGTATGGAAAATGGCTTGACCAAAATACTTAAAAGTACCATGTCGTTGTCAAAGTGGTACTGTTTAGGAACCTAATTTAAGTTTATGTAATATAATTTCCAGAATTCTTTTTCCTGCTGAGGAAAATTGGGATTTGAGGCTAAGCTCATAAGGTATCTCTCTTGCATAAGGAGGACTGAGAATGTCTTTGCCTGGTTATGTCCCTCACCTAGGTTTCTGCTTGGACACACAGGTTTTGTAAGTTACGACAATCCTGTTTCTGCTCAAGCTGCCATCCAGTCCATGAACGGCTTTCAGATTGGCATGAAGCGGCTTAAAGTGCAGCTCAAACGTTCGAAGAATGACAGCAAGCCCTACTGAGCGTGCTCCCCTCTGAGACTGGAGTGAGGGTCTTCTGGTAAGTTGGGGAGGAGCACCCTTAATGATTCGAAGCCCTAAGGCTGTGTGTTGACAGCCCTGGACCCTGATCCCTGCCACTCTCGCAGGCACAGCTTGCCCTGAAGACTCGGCTACTGCCTTCTGTGGGAGTTTCGCTTCGTACAGAGGACAAGTTTGTGCTTTGGTTTCCAGTGTTTTACTTTGGAGTTTAGGTGCCATATTCTGAGTTTCTTTTTTCTTTATTTAAAGTTTGCTGTGTTTGTAACCAGTATATGTTGAGAAGGACCAACATCAAACCACCCTGGGGGAGGAGAGGGAATGGAGAAACATTAAAGAAGATCAGAACTTGTCCAGAACTACCCTGAGAGAGGACTGAATGAAACCAAAAATTGACCCCCAGAATCTCCCTGAGTTTGAGAGTGGATGAAATGAGAGCTGCTGTCCAAGAGCTGGGGATGGGAGGGTGGAGCTGATGGGGTTGGCTTTGAGGAGAGAGAGGGACTTGATGTCCACTGCCCTGCAGGTGTCAGCGGGAACTCTCCTATAGCTGCTTCTATGGAAGCACTGAGATTTTGTCCAGGGTTTCTGCCCCTCTTTCCCAAGAAGGGGCTAACAATTCTCTGGAAATAAAACACCCATTAAATTAGCCTGACGTATGCAAAAAGCAGGGAGACACCACCCATTACCAGCTGTTCCAGCCAGCCACTGGTGTTGGGTTGGCCTTGCCAGGCTTGGGGGCTGTTAGAAAGAAGCAGCCGCTCAGGTCAGTTTTAGTTTATTTCAACAGATCATTAGACCAGGGCCCATTTCTTACAGAGTGTCTAGGGAGACACACTGGTTTCCTTCTTTGTAGTTGACCACAGCAAGGAGTGTCATTTCATCCCAAGCCACTGTTTTATCATGAGGGCAGAACCAAGAGGGGCTTACAGTACCTGGCTGAGGGGGCACTTCCCTGAGCAGAGTGATCAAAAGCCATCTAGTTGGGGCAGAGGAGCCTGCTTCTTGGTGCACCTGCATCAGAAGGTCCCTTCGAGCCAGAGTACTTCATTTGCCAGAGGCCAGCCAGCACTTGGTACTTAAAAGGACTAAGAAACGCATGCTTGCCTCCTTGGTTGAGGTGTCCCAGATGTAGTATTTTCATCAAGGCAGTCCCGTCTTCTAACCACTCCAGCCCTGTCTTCTTCTCTTGGGGACAGAGGAGACAACAGGACGTTTACAGCCTCCATATGGATTTAGTGTTTATTTACCTCAGTATTATCATGTTCATTTTTGTCCACGTGCTTATAGTTAGCTCCCTGCTGCCTCCCACGGTCTTACTCCAGCTCTTGCCTGTGATCTCCCCAGCCTCCGGGCTCTGCCTCTGCTCCAAGAAATGCTGGGGGTGGAGAGCCAGGAAGGACATGCTGTTGGGAAGTGCACTTGGGCCCAGGCAGCCCTGTTAGGATATGACTTTTAGTCCAGGCCAGTGACTGGGTCCCTGGGATCTTAAATTTAACAAACATCAGTCCTGACCCCTAGCAGCAGAGATGAGATCAAAGGGTTGGTTTGCTAATAAGTTGGGTGGGGACTCTCTCCTTGTCATGCTGTCCATTTGGGTGACAGACAGGGATTGACCATCTTGCTGTTGTACAGATATTTGGTTATCCCACTGAAGCTGGGACAGCTGTTCCCTTCTCATAATGATAACTTGGGTCTGTTGTCCTCTAAGAAACGTGAACATACTTCTTAAGCTGAACCACGTAAACTTGAATTCTGCGCACTGGGTGATCTCTTGCATAAGGAGGACTGAGAATGTCTTTGCCTGGTTATGTCCCTCACCTAGGTTTCTGCTTGGACACACAGGTTTTGTAAGTTACGACAATCCTGTTTCTGCTCAAGCTGCCATCCAGTCCATGAACGGCTTTCAGATTGGCATGAAGCGGCTTAAAGTGCAGCTCAAACGTTCGAAGAATGACAGCAAGCCCTACTGAGCGTGCTCCCCTCTGAGACTGGAGTGAGGGTCTTCTGGTAAGTTGGGGAGGAGCACCCTTAATGATTCGAAGCCCTAAGGCTGTGTGTTGACAGCCCTGGACCCTGATCCCTGCCACTCTCGCAGGCACAGCTTGCCCTGAAGACTCGGCTACTGCCTTCTGTGGGAGTTTCGCTTCGTACAGAGGACAAGTTTGTGCTTTGGTTTCCAGTGTTTTACTTTGGAGTTTAGGTGCCATATTCTGAGTTTCTTTTTTCTTTATTTAAAGTTTGCTGTGTTTGTAACCAGTATATGTTGAGAAGGACCAACATCAAACCACCCTGGGGGAGGAGAGGGAATGGAGAAACATTAAAGAAGATCAGAACTTGTCCAGAACTACCCTGAGAGAGGACTGAATGAAACCAAAAATTGACCCCCAGAATCTCCCTGAGTTTGAGAGTGGATGAAATGAGAGCTGCTGTCCAAGAGCTGGGGATGGGAGGGTGGAGCTGATGGGGTTGGCTTTGAGGAGAGAGAGGGACTTGATGTCCACTGCCCTGCAGGTGTCAGCGGGAACTCTCCTATAGCTGCTTCTATGGAAGCACTGAGATTTTGTCCAGGGTTTCTGCCCCTCTTTCCCAAGAAGGGGCTAACAATTCTCTGGAAATAAAACACCCATTAAATTAGCCTGACGTATGCAAAAAGCAGGGAGACACCACCCATTACCAGCTGTTCCAGCCAGCCACTGGTGTTGGGTTGGCCTTGCCAGGCTTGGGGGCTGTTAGAAAGAAGCAGCCGCTCAGGTCAGTTTTAGTTTATTTCAACAGATCATTAGACCAGGGCCCATTTCTTACAGAGTGTCTAGGGAGACACACTGGTTTCCTTCTTTGTAGTTGACCACAGCAAGGAGTGTCATTTCATCCCAAGCCACTGTTTTATCATGAGGGCAGAACCAAGAGGGGCTTACAGTACCTGGCTGAGGGGGCACTTCCCTGAGCAGAGTGATCAAAAGCCATCTAGTTGGGGCAGAGGAGCCTGCTTCTTGGTGCACCTGCATCAGAAGGTCCCTTCGAGCCAGCGTACTTCATTTGCCAGAGGCCAGCCAGCACTTGGTACTTAAAAGGACTAAGAAACGCATGCTTGCCTCCTTGGTTGAGGTGTCCCAGATGTAGTATTTTCATCAAGGCAGTCCCGTCTTCTAACCACTCCAGCCCTGTCTTCTTCTCTTGGGGACAGAGGAGACAACAGGACGTTTACAGCCTCCATATGGATTTAGTGTTTATTTACCTCAGTATTATCATGTTCATTTTTGTCCACGTGCTTATAGTTAGCTCCCTGCTGCCTCCCACGGTCTTACTCCAGCTCTTGCCTGTGATCTCCCCAGCCTCCGGGCTCTGCCTCTGCTCCAAGAAATGCTGGGGGTGGAGAGCCAGGAAGGACATGCTGTTGGGAAGTGCACTTGGGCCCAGGCAGCCCTGTTAGGATATGACTTTTAGTCCAGGCCAGTGACTGGGTCCCTGGGATCTTAAATTTAACAAACATCAGTCCTGACCCCTAGCAGCAGAGATGAGATCAAAGGGTTGGTTTGCTAATAAGTTGGGTGGGGACTCTCTCCTTGTCATGCTGTCCATTTGGGTGACAGACAGGGATTGACCATCTTGCTGTTGTACAGATATTTGGTTATCCCACTGAAGCTGGGACAGCTGTTCCCTTCTCATAATGATAACTTGGGTCTGTTGTCCTCTAAGAAACGTGAACATACTTCTTAAGCTGAACCACGTAAACTTGAATTCTGCGCACTGGGTGAAATGTGTCCTGTGTTTCAAGGATAAAACTGTTCCAAAGGCTTCCAGGGTCATGATGGGATTTTTTAAATAAATGCAAAAAATAAAAATGAAAAAAGAAAAAAGAAAAAAAAAATGCTAGGTTGGGGAGGCGCTGTTCTGAATCCCAACCGGCCGGAATTAAGAATGTTGTTTCTATTTTTATAGAAGTTTTATACAGCTCCGGGGTGGAGAATATTTATTACCTAAATTATATCTCTGGAAAAGGCCAGGATTTTGTAGAATCCAGAATGTGATTGTTATACACACAGGGTGCTGTGTATGATTGAAACTACTGACTTTCTGTAGCCTGTTTGCAGCCCAGCTAATCTGCCAGAGGGGGAAGGAATTAATGCTGTGAATTGGCGGAGGAGGGAGCTGTGCTCTCCAGGGTGCTGTGGTGCTGTGATCCCTAACCTTCTGTTCTGTCTTCCTCCTTGGCCATCATGGGGTTTTCCAAATCCCAGAAGTCCACTCCGTTCCCACTTTTCCCCCTCTCTCCCTCCTCCCCCATTTCACCATTATTGCCCACAGATTTGTCCTGGGCTCTTGAGACCGTCAGAAACCCCTTTCCAAACGACATGAAGGCAAAGGTGTGATCAGCCTGCCTTTGATACCGCACCCTGAGGTTCCTGACCTGCTGTGGGTGTTCTTTTCTAAAAGGAGCATTTGCCCCAGCAGGGTCCTGGGCTGCTGCGGAGGCCAGCGGGTGAGACTGGGCACTTCTGTCCGTTCTCTTCTCTCCTGCCCAGTGAGTTAGCGCAGCAGCACTGCCCTCGAGCACAGTTTTCTCCCCAGGCCAAAGATGGTTTTGTGCAGAAGCTGCTCCCCTACAAGTCTCCCGGTGTGAAAGGGTTCAGCTCAGAGAGTGGAGACTCGCAGTCAAGTCTTATGCAATCTTTTGCTGTTGTGTGGGGGTTTCACTTACATAAATGTGTTTTATCCTGTGGTAGTTTTTGTTTTCTACTTGGGTTTCATCATGAAATTGATTTGCCTTGAATACATCCACACTGTTCCCTGGGTCCCACATGAGTGACCAGGGCCTGCGTGGAAGCTAAGAGCTTGGATTTCTGGGAACAAAGGGCCATCCCTATAGGATTGAGGAGAAATCCTGGCCCCCTCCCCTAAAGAATTCTCCCACCCCAGGCTTCTTTCTCCCTGGGTCTTGAACAGGGAGCTGGAGAGGCCAAGGCTCTACACCACTAGAGATCTCAGACGTGTTTGGATGCTTCGGGGGAAATCCAAGCCTTAGTTTCCCTCTGTCTCTGGCAATTGGATGTTTTCTTGGTGTCCTCCATGTCCTTTTGACTTTTCCCTGTGTCCATTGTTAGCATGTGCAAAAGTTCCCTGTCATTGCCCAGCCCCTGCCCCGCCCGCCTCCTCATTTCAGGGCTGTACACAGTGAGTGTTCCTGTTCTCTCTCTCTTTGTTTGGATGTATTGCTCTGTGTAACTCAGTGGGTCTCCCTCTTTCTGGTTTGTTTTTTTTTCTAGATTCCTGCCGTTTGTTCATCGTTGTGCCTAAAGCATGTCGATGTGGCGTCAAGTACATCGTCCAAATCCCTGTCTCTTCAGCTTCTCTGATGCTTGAACTCTCACCTTTGACCTTGTGTTTGACCTTTGATGCTGATGTGTATTTTTATTATGTTTGTTTCTTTTCTTTGTTTTTTCTTTTTTCTTTCCTTTTTTTTTCTTTTGTGCTGCCAAATTGGTTTTGCTAGAACGACTGCTGAAGGGGAAATATTTAAACTTGCATTTGAATATAAAAAAATCTATTTTTCTAGAACTTCATAAGATAACCACTTGATTTTGTGATTCCAATTCTTTGTAATTGTCTTCAGAGCAGCCCTACTAGCACATACCGCGTAGTGTTTGTATTTCTGTGAACACACAGCCAGTCTGTTTCTAGGCTTTGTTTCTGTGTGCTTAGTTTTAAAGACAACTTTGAAGTAAACAATGAAATAAAAGATGTCACTGAAACCTTTGAGGCTCCTGAGCACATTTTGCTGATACAGTTTGTGGGGCTTGAGGAGACCGCATGTGTTTATTTTTGTTTTTCTGAGTTCTCACTGCAGAAAACACCTGGACCCCTTTCCTTTTTGACAGCAGGCTGCAGCCAGCCAGCCCTTTTCCTTTTGGGGCTCTTCCTGCAGCCACCTGCAGGGAGCCTTCAGATCCTCCGGCCCCTCCCCGGCCGCTGTCCCTACCCATGCTTGTTCCTATAGTCTCCACAGCAAAATGTGATGCTTTGATATTTTTTTGGTTTTTGTTTTTGTATTGTTTTTGTGCTTTTGTTTGGAATTTTTTCCTTTCCTACTAAGATTATGCCCAGAAAAAACAAGTTTTGCATGTTTCCTGCTGTTTCTTCACACCTTCTTATATATCACCTTCACCTCTCTGTTTTCTATAGTTTGTGCAAAAACTGACCGATTTAAAAGGGTTTCAAAGAAGCTGTTTTAAGTTGTTGTGGGGTTGATTATTTTTTTCAAGATTGTATTGTTTTATTTGAAGTGGCAACTTTCTCCTCTATTGCCCTTAGAGCGTCTGCCTGTGCACTGAGACTGTCACCTCCTGTGGCCTCCAGGCCTCAGCAGGGCCTCCAGGAGGCTGGCTGCTCTGCTCAGAGATGGGTTAGGAGGGTGCCTGAGAGGCACGGGAACAGAGGTAGAATCAAGAAGGTGGCTGCAGGTGGGCAGGAGGCTTAGCGCATTAGGGGTAGTGAGCATCTCTCAGCCCAGAGGAAGGAGGGTGCTCGTGACCACTCGGAGGCGGCCATCTGTGCACTAAGCGGCAGTACACCTGCCAGCGCTTTTCCTAGGTGACAAGCACAATACTACAGTCTTCACACTGTTTACAGCCCTGGCCACCAGCCACCCCACACTGGCTCTTCACCGCAGCTCTGCTCTTGCTTATTAGCTAGTGAGATGGGGTAAGGGCAGGGATTTGTTTTTTAAAATTGGGTGAAGAGCCAAATAGCTACTGTCCCTGGGTGCCAGGCAAACCAGCTCCTTGGTTCCCTGAAGGGAACTTGCCCTCCTCTCTGTGGCACCATCAGCCTCAGGGTCTTAGGGGCTTGAGTAAGAATGTGAATGGCAGCGGAAGAGCCAGGGGAGATGAGGGGTCACAGGATGATCTGTGGAGGTGAGAGGTCGCAGAGAGAGGAGTTTGTGATAGACCCACCCAGAGAAGAACTGAGCCGCGGGTGGGCGGGAGAGCTGGGAAGCAGGAGTGCCCAGGGAAGGGTGGAGAGGGAGGGGTAGCCGAGGGACGGGGAGGGGTGGGGAAGGTAGAAGCACTGTTAGCATCACCCATGCTGAGGTTGATGAAGGAAGGGATCCCAGCAGAATTTCTGGTCTGGGACCCAGCGGGTTGCCTAGTATTATGCTTGAGGCCATTCTTACTAGAAGGAAAGGGCGGCCCCGTGGAGGCCCAGTGTATGGCAGACTGCTGAATTTCCTGGAAGGGGCGAGTGGATGGAAGGAGGCCAGGAACCCCAGCCTGAGCAAACTGCCGTGCACCCTACAGTCTGACTGCACAGAGCCGCCTCTGTTGGCAGAAGGCACTGAGGCTCCCCTTCCTGTGTATTCAGAATCCGTGTTTGCCAATATATTTTGCTTTTAATTCCAAGAGGAGCTCTGGGAAAACCTGTGGATAAAACCAAATGCCAAACGTTGGACGTTTCCTTTTCTTTTTCTCTCTGATTGTTTTAATTGTTCTGTGGTGGTTTTAATGGATTTGAGACCCTGGAGCGGCAGCTGCCTTTCTGATTTCCAGCTGCTTTTTGTGAATAATTTAAAAAGAAAAAAAAAAGAATCTTTACATTTTGGAGACAAACCTGTGTGAGTTTTTTATTGGTACAAACGTTGTATTTAACACTAGGGGTTTTGTACAGTTTTTTGCCTTTTCTACTAGAAAACAATGTAAAGTGATTTCACAATGTGAAGAGAAAAAATTGCCACTATGACCAAACGCACAGTCTGTTCTGCAGCAACAACGGGATTCAATCAACTCAAAGTCGTGATTCAGCCGTAGAAATGCTTTTCCTTTACCTTGTTTGAGCTTTTCCTTTCTTCCCTGTTTTGATTTGCAAAAGAAAATGTCTTTTTTGTGTGAACTTGTGTTGTACTATGTAGAAATTATGGATTTTACTTTAATGGTTTAAAAAAAAAAGGCAAGAAGAGCCATTGTCGCTTTTCTGACCTGATCACAGTTTGTGTAGTGGATTAAAAAAGAAAAAAAAATTGTTAAAAGTTTGGAGCAAGGGAGTATGTGTTTAAAAGAAATCTCCTTTTTTTGTGTGTTTTTCCTTTTTTCCCAATGGGGAACCTAAATCTGTTTTAATTGCACAGACACACGGACAAAAAGTCATTTTGTATCTGCCAAGTGTGGTACCTTCCTTTGTTTATTTGCTATTAAACTGTTTGAGAAGAACTGGTGTTGTCTTCAGAGTTATTGATTGTTGGGGTGGGTGGTGGGTTTGGGGGGTTGTTGGCATTCCTGGGGAGGTGTTGGGTGCCCTGATAAGGTTTCGTTTTGATTTACCTGTATGTGACCAAACCCACCAAAGGCTCCTGAAAGGAGGTAATCTGCCCAGAAAACTGCCTTCTCCATCACCCTCTCTTCTTTTGCAACATTCCTGCTGATATGGAAGTACCTTAAAATTTTGCGGGCATCCTTAATTTTTAAGGATGCGCTGCCACACTGAACAACTTGCCCACCCCTGTGATGCAAGTCCCTTCCCTGGGCTGTGGAGTCCTGTGCCCTGGGAAGCGGCCGGCCAGTGTGGAGTTCTGAGCATGCGGTTCTGCCTCTAGGCCAGCGGTTCTCAACCTGTGGGTCGCGACCCCTTTGGGGGTCGAACGACCCTTTCACAGGGGTCGCCTAAGACCATCGGAAAACACATATATAATTACATATTGTTTTTGTGATTAATCACTATGCTTTAATTATGTTCAATTTGTAACAATGAAAATACATCCTGCATATCAGATATTTACATTACGATTCATAACAGTAGCAAAATTACAGTTATGAAGTAGCAACGAAAATAATTTTCTGGTTGGGGGTCACCACAACATGAGGAACTGTACTAAAGGGTCTGGGCATTAGGAAGGTTGAGAACCACTGCTCTAGGCCTTAACTGCTGCAGCCCAAAGTGGGTCAGCTCCTTTCCCCTCATTCTGACCTCAGAGCAAGGTCACAGGAGGGCATTTCTATTCTATTTTTTTATTTTTAAAATAGATTTTTATTGATTTCAGAGAGAAAGGGAGAGGGAGAGAGAGAGAGAGAGCAACATCAGTGATGAGAGGGAATTATTGATTGGCTGCCTCCTGCATGCTCCCTACTGGGGATGGAGCCTACAACACATCCAGGACCCTTCAGTCCGCATGCCGACGCTCTATCCACTGAGCCAAACCGGCAATGGCTACTATTCATTAATTTTAGATCTCTCTCCAAGTGAGGCCCCACACCTGCGCCTCCTAAGTCCTTGAATGACAAGTTCAGCCACAGGGCCGGGAGGCTCAGGTCCTCTGACTGAAGTGTACCTTACCTGCTCCTTCACTGCCACCCTCACTCCCCCGGGAGGCCAGGCTTTGTGCTTGCCTCAGGCATGCAACCCACACCTGGCCTGTCAGAGGCTTGTCGGGTAGCTTTCCCAGTGGGGGTGGCACTGAAGACTAGCCTATGAAATGTTCTGTGGAAGTGAGGATTCTGAATACTAATGAACTTGGGGAAATAGCCTTTTCAATTGTATTTATCAAAAATGTGTTTAACTGCAAATCTGAACTTTGTATTAATAGGCAGTAATTATTCTAGCCAACGTTCATTGACCACAGTCCAAGTATTGTGGGAAACGCTGGATACACATTGTATGTTTTAGGCTTTTTCCCCCCAAAGAAGATCCTTTACTGAGTTCTATTTAAAACATTACCATCCTTGATTCAAATAAACTTCAACTTAGTTGACTGGTGATGGCCGAGCTAGGTAAAGGCTTCACAGTGGTAAAAATACTCCTCACATGTTGCAGTCTTTGTAACATCACTGGGAGGGAGCTGCTGTTCTCATCCCCATTTTGCAGATGAGCAAACTGAGGTTAGAAGAAGTTGGGCTGCCTGCTTGGTATTTGGCGGCACTGAGAACCAAACCAGGTTTGCCCAGTCCATGCTGCTCAGTGGTTGAGCATCAAACTATGAACCAGGGGGTCGTGGGCTCAATCCCCAGTAGGGGGTGTGCAGGAGGCAACCAATCAATGATTCTCATCATTAATGTTTCTCTCTCTTCTCCCTTCCTCTCTGACATCAATAAAAAGTGTGTGTGTGTGTGTGTGTGTATTTAAAAACCAGGTCTGCCTGGCTCCCAAGCCCTTTCTTGTAACCACTACTGAAGAGAAGTCGAAAGCCAATGAATATGCTCTAGTTAACCTGTGCCATCTCACCGCACGGGCTCACACACTGTCCTCCAGGCTCTGGTGAAAGGAACTTGGGGCCCTAAACTCCTGTGGCTCCCTCAGGTGGCAAATCATTACAGCTTCACCCTCCTTAGAGCAGCTGTCTTGGTGTTTAGGGGGGTTCATTGGTAGCTCTGTTCCCAAATAATTGGTCAGTGTGCTCCTGTGAGGCCATTTCCTGAGGACTGGAACGTCAGTCCTACCACATGTTTCTTTCCTAGATCTAGTACCACCTAAACTATGTACCTAATGTTTGTCTTAATTTTTTTTATTATGGTAAAAAACATATAAACTGTTCTCCTTTAACTATTTTTAAGTGGACAATTCAGTGCATTCACGATGTCATACAACCCACCTAATGTGTTTTTTTGTTTGGGTTTTTTTATTTTTACATTTTTGATTGATTTTTAGAGAAGGGAGAAACAGTGTTTATCTACCTCCTGCATGCTCCATACTGCAGATTGAGCCCACAACCCGGGCATGTGCCTTGGCTGGGAGTTGAATCAGCAGCCTTTTGATGCCTGGGACGATGTCCAGCCAGCTGAGCCGTACCAGCCAGGGTGTCACCACTAATTTTTTTTAATGTATTTTATTGATTTTTTTACAGAGAGGAAGGGAGAGGGATAGAGTTAGAAACATCGATAAGAGAGAAACATCAATCAGCTGCCTCCTGCACACCCCCTACTGGGGATGTGCCCGAAACCAAGGTACATGCCCTTGACTGGAATCGAACCTGGGACCCTTTAGTCCACAGGCCGATGCTCTATCCACTGAGCCAAACCGGTTAGGGCCACCACTAATGTTTTAAAGCCACTTGACGTGCACCTTTTTCAACTTGAACTCATTCTGACCATCAGTATTTGTAAAATCTCCTAATTCTGTGTTTTAAAATACACACTAAGCTGCGTAGCCACCTATATGTAACGTGTTCGCTGCATGCCGTTGCAGGTCTGTTTCACACTGGGAACTTGGGCCAGGATGGAGCGTCAGGGGCTTTCTCATGGACTTCCTTCCCGAGCTGTGTCCTCTGTAATTAGAGGGAGATAGAATTTGAAGATTCTTTCCTTTTAAAATTGAAGAACAATTGACTTCCAAAATTATCTTAGTTTCAGGTGTACTACATAGTGACTCGGTATTAAATACATTACGAAGTGATCACAGTAAGTCTGTTACCTCCTGTCACCATGCAGAAGCTATTACAGTATATTGATTGTTCTCAAGGCTGCTCATTACATCCCCAACTAGCGCCAATTTTTCTCTGACTCAAGATCAAGGTGATCTAGATCTAAGTCTTTGCCTTAGAACTCCTGATACGGAGCTTGATAGAAAAACAGAATGTTAAGTACAGCTTGAATGTCTTCCAATTTAACAGCATACTTAAAGTTTGTTGTTTCTCTTTAAAATTCACAAAAAGGACTGCGCTAAAAATACTGTTTTTAAGCCTTTAAAATTTAGACTTGTGCATCTTTATAACTGGGTTTTAAAAAAAGACATTCAGCCCTGGCCGGTTTGGCTCACTGGATAGAGCGTCGGCCTGGGGACTGAAGAGTCCCGGGTTCGATTCTGGTCAAGGGCATGTACCTTGGTTGCGGGCACATCCCCAGTAGGGGGTGTGCAGGAGGCAGCTGATCGATGTTTCTCTCTCATCAATGTTTCTACCTCTCTATACCTCTCCCTTCCTCTCTGTAAAAAATCAATAAAATGTATTTTTTTAAAAAAACAACTGACATTCAATCACCTTTCACTTTTGAATGGATGCCTCAGTACCGCGATTTTGCCCCCTCCTGGTTCCTGGCTTCCCGCAGAGAAAGCCCATGCCCCCGCTTCCTCAGCGCACAGGTTCTGCACGTGCTGTGCCCACCTGAGCATCCCGGTCCCTAACGAAGAGACTCCATCGGGAAGGAAGTGAAAGACCAGGCTTGTCCCCTCACCTGTGGGAATGTCAAACTACCGTCTGACAACAGCCCTTCCAGGAGATCACAGGTGGCTTTTTCTTGCACCTTTTGCGTTTTTCAAGCATTTTCCTTCTGTCTCAGGAGTCCTTTCAAGCCCCCATCAGCCAGTGTTCGGTTTCTCCTGCAGGCATCGACTTTCTCCGCCCCGGTAAAGGCTCCAGCCACAGGGAGGGCTCTTGTTTTTTATATCAGAGTCAGAGCCTCGCAGTGGGAAGTTGACCTGAGGCCTGAGGTTTCGGTGCTGTGAAGCTGCTTGATGGAGATTCGCACACTGTACATTGTCCACTTGAAGCATCGTCGTTAGTGTTAGCCTTGTGCAGCCCTCACCACAGTTCAATGTCATCACCTCCCAAAGAAACCCCGTTCTCATTAGCAGTCACTCCCCTCCCCCCACCCCCATTCCCAGCCCCGAAATCACTAACCTTTCTGCTCTTTAGATGTGCCTGTTCTGGAGGGATCGTGTCAACGCAGTCATGCAGCATGTGCCTTCCGGTGTCTGGCTTTCACTTCGCCTACCTCCTGAGGCATGTCCTTTCCCCCCCTACATCTGCTCTTGCCATTCCTGGCTCTTCTGAGCCTGTCTCCTCGCCATCCAGCCATGTGTCTGCAGCCCCTGTCCCTTCCACATCCCCCAGCGCCTGTGTACCTGCTACGCCACCTGGCACGCCCTGGGTCCAGTGCTCTTCTAGCCCTGCCTGCATTGTCCACTACGATGACCGCCCAGCCACTCGAGCTGTTTCATAGATTTCATTCCTCGATTTCACTGTGAAGCCACATGGGCTACCGTATTGGACAAAGAACATTTCCATGATCCCAGGCGGTTACTGTCAGGACTGTTCTAGACAGTCACTCTGCTTTTAAGAACACAAAACAGTCCGGCTGGCATGGCTCAGTGGTTGAGCGTCTATGAACCAGGAGGTCATGGGTTCGACTCCCAGTCAGGGCACATGCCCGATTGCAGGAGGCGGCTGCTCGATGATTCCCTCTCATCATTGATGTTTCTATCTCGCCCTCCCTTCCTCTCTGAA